ATGGATGGAAACAATCTGAGAAGGAGAGGAGGAAGAGTACATGTAAGATGTGGAGGATGAGGAGGAAGAGGATGAAGAGAGAAAGAGTAAGGTTTAGAGAGTGTTATCAATGCTGGATCTGTCAGACCAGAGGGTTTTTTTCTCTGTCTAGCAAAAAAGACAACATTACTTGTGATGTGGAAATTAGGCCTATGTAAACCAGGCTTTGTACTTAACCCGCTTTCCAAATTTTTTTTTAAATAAAATTAAAAAATCATGGTCTTCTTATTATTGACACACTATTTTCCTAATTAATGCTGTTCAGTTGCTTTGACACAATCTGTATTGTTAAAAGCGCTATATAAATAAAGGTGACTTGACTTGACATGAAAAATCATCCTCTTCACATGAACAAATATGTGCTTGGCATTTGTTTCAGTGTAGTGACGCCCATTTGCGAATTTTTCAAATCGTGTACACGTTAATGAATTGCACTGGGCCTTGATCGTTGGTAGTTGTGTGTGGGGGGGGACGTGACATGCTGTAAACTGCGAAAATGAAGTCTCAAAATCCAAATGAACCGAACAAGATCGACTCGAACTAGACATCAATTAATGCATGCGTGTCACCTGATCCACATATGCATAGATTCCTTTTTGCATTAGCAATTTATGATATATTAATGCAGAACAGAACATTTTTATTCGCAAACATGTCTGTATTTGTAAAAATCGCTGCACAATCATTTAATCCTGAATTCCACAGACTCAAATTGAAAGGCATTTGTTTGTGGTTAGTAAGATACATGTATAAAATGTGTGCAGTACATGGATAATTGTGCGTGCATCTATTAATCATTTTGAGTCTAATATCATCCCATGTTTGTTTACTTTCAAACAAAACAAATATTTGAAATAGTTTTTATGACCACGTTTCTAATTGCACTTTCAGTTCTGCATCCTGTTTGCTACCTCACTTAAAATTCATAAAATTCATTTAAAAGGCATTCTTAATTCATCTCTAAACTGACACAACCCTGCTCACTGAGAGACTTGTATGTATGTATGTATTAAGCTGTTGTTGTTGCTGTTGTTGTTGTTGCTCTTGTTCTTGTTGACCTATACTAGATATTAAAGAATTGGCCATGTGACACAAGATGAGAAAAAAAGTCTCAGGTTGTCATTCATCACCTTTATAATGCAGGTTTATTCCTCACAGTCTCTCTTTTAATAATGTCTGTTTAGTGCTTTTGGCAATGTTTTGTTGGTGCTGAGTGAGGGGAGAGAAGTTTTAGACATGCTTCTCTTGAGGGGGTGAGTGAATGTGCTGAAAGCTGAGAGAGACCGCACGGAGTGGAAAGAGTCAAAATGTCTTAGATAAAAAAGCCACTTATTTATCTCGAGAATAAATATAATTTATTTTTGGCTGAAAACCTGCCATCTTGTGCAATTAACAGGAAACAAGTTGGCCAACTATGTATTGGGATAAAGTTAAGTGTGTTTGTGTGTGCCAGCCCATGTGTTTCTTTGTGTGTGTGTGTGTGTGTGTGTGTGTGTGTGTGTATGTGTGTGTGTGTAATGAGACACTGCTTTCAGTAAGCCCATCAAGGGATAAATAAGCATGCCATTACCATACACTCATTTATCTTTCTGCACATTATTTGACAGCAAACCATCCTTGTAAGGTATTGCAGTCTGACCACAAATGCTATGTTAGATGTTTCCCTGGAAGGAATGGCAGAGCAGTCAGAGAGAGAGAGAGAGAGAGTGAGTGAGAGAGAGAGAGAGAGTGAGAGAGAGTGAGGTGGGGTGGGTGGAGGGCACAGTGCCAAACACCAGGCGCCACGCTTCCAGCATGATGACCTCATCCCCATCTACTACTAGAACATATTGTCTACATTCATCATCACTGAATGTAGTGTTTGTGTCTTCGTTCATGCACAATGAAATTCACCAGCATTACCAAATAATACAAACATTTAAAAGGCTTAAAGTTAAAATTTCCATTTGTCCCTTTTGCTAGAATTCTGTGGAATCAAGACCTAAATAAGCGGCTGCTGTTGCTTTTTTCACCCCACTTACCCTGCAAATGTGGTAGTAGTTACTTTATTACTGCCATTAATACTTTTTTTATTTTCTGAAATGGTTGTCATCAATCGCAAAACATGAAAATCTTTCATACAGCAGGAAGCTTCAAATGCATGTTGAAACACTTTCGTCAGGCAGTAAGAAGAACTGTACAATTCATATACATCTCTGTATTCCCTGAAATAAATTCCCAGAGCATGTTTCAGCAGTTATGGAAGCATTTTATTGCAAATATACTCAAATATCAATATCCTTTCAAAAAGCAAATGCAAATAAATAAAACTTCAGCCCTGGTAGAATGGAATGCATACACATAACACATGAAAAAATACATACACCTCTATGAACAGAGTTTAAATGTTACCATTATTTTGGAAAGAAATAGCAGTGCAATCCTGCTGCCCTTTGCAACAGTGGTAATACGTAGAGTCTCTTTTAGATGCTTGAAAAGAGTCCTCCCTTTTATGAAATTAGTATTCTAATATGTCCTGAATACCTTACCTAATAAAGATATGTATTTTGTCAACACTGTAAAAATGGGCTTCTTTGTAGTCATTGGTTGTGTTTTGTTTGTGTCCTCATACTCCAATAAGAATGCCAGAAAACAGACTGTCTTGGAGAATTGTGAGGGCTGAGCCTGTCCCATTGTCAATAAGAATAGATACATACTCTCCAGCCTGTGAAAAAAAAACCATCTACATTAATCATGCTTTTTGTTTGTTTTATGGGTCAGTAATATAGAAATCTTTTATGATAAAGAGATATTCATAGATATTGCATATCCTCTTTTTTTTAGTTGGTGTGTTGTCATAACAGTCATAATAACTCATAAAACATTAATAGCCAAAAAGTAAGCATCACATTATTGAAAGAGGGCAGAAGATGCCCCTGTGGCTGAACAAAAATAAAAAGTGGGCCCAAATATGGACATTTTCCCAGACACATATTTTCAGTCAGCATTATTAGCACAAACAATTTCAGTAACCTGTAAAATTCTTGTTCAGTTAAATGATCTTATTATGTCAGTCAGTCATACCTGTAGGTAAAGAGTCCCGGTCAGCAGAATACTGAATTCTCCCCCTGTAGTGCTCACTCCAGTCACTGTCTCCAAAGACCTGCATCATTATAAACACATTAATCATGGTTTAGGACTTATTTGCTTGACTTGTTAGAATAACAGTTCAAACGGTCAGTGCTATTGGTGATTATGGACCATTACTACTCACACATTACTCTGACAAAGAGACTCTATGCATATAGAAGCCTTAACACTGTCCCTCTGCCTGGCATGAGGCTTTTTCTGAGACTCATTGGATTCTGAAAAAAAACCAGATACATGATGCAGAGTTAAAGGGATTGTGACAGGCAGACATGTTCAGTGGTACTAGGACCCCACCCTGTTCCACTGAGCTTTATCTAAGGGACAGGCTGTTGGATAGGCCACACACAAGTAACATGATGCAAACAGGAATAAGGTATTGCATGTACTTCAGCTAGCAAAATGATGCAATAAAGCTTATATTTTATGTTTCTATCAGTCTAAATGGGAAAACTCAATTACCTGCTGGTGCATATTGTTTAGCTTATGTATATATTCATGCCTTGTTGTCAAGTATGCATACTTCATGAAATGTGGATGCCTAAAAATGCTATTTTTGATACATTACAGTATGACAGACTGCGTCCACGGGAAATGTGGTGAACACTACAACAAGTGAACACTATCCCATTAAGACTAGGCCAGAGGAGAACTGGTCCTCCAACTGAGCCTGGTTTCTCCCAAAGTTTTTTTTTTTTTCCTCAATTTCTGTCACCTGAGAAAATTAGGGTTCCTTAACACTGTTGCCTTTTGGCTTGCTTATGGAGTTTGAACGACACAAAACTTGAACTGGCACTATTGTCACTATTGAACTGTAGAGCCACATTATGCAACACTGACACTGTTATTGAACTAAACTGAATTAACACTGAAATTACACAAGCTGAATAATAGCAGTCTTTTTTTAGAATTGCTTATAACTGAATTGAACTTTTTTGAATTTGTATAAAGCTGTGTCGTATGAAGCGCTATAGAAATAATGTCACAGGGGCAGTCCCCTCAAAGGTACAACCACTGTACCTGCACTATGGAAGATTTTTGGATATAAATTTCAGTATGCCTATGGCCCGAGATGCTGGGCTAGGCTTGTTTAGTTTGTTTGGTGAATAGATGAAAAGATGGAAATTACATTATTAAGAGAGTACATGACAAATCTGTATTCAAAACTAATTCACTACAGTAAACCGACAATATTGATTTAATTTTGTGAGATGTCAAGTCAGATTTCGCAGGAAATTCCTATTGCTTACGTCATTCATTCTTGCCTCTTAAGGTCATGTCAGTAAATGCAAAAGAAGGTCCTGCTATTGAGTGTGTGGGTGTTAAGGAGTGGTTGTAGCTTGTTGTTACAGTAAATAGTAGTGTGTAGACTAGAACTAGTCAGCTAACTAGCATGTAACGGACACTTAAAACAGCAAACCTTATTGACCTAAATCACTGCTTGTCAAAACAAAAAAATTAAGAACTGTTGAGAACATGCATTCAAAATGGGAAAGTGACAGAGCCTGTGCTAAAAACGATTTGAACCACAGTGGTACATATGATACTTGCTCATATGCCTTTTTTGTGATATACTTTTTTGGAATTTCTTCTTACTGTCAATGGTGCAGCATAGCAGATTTCATCTGATATAGCGATTGCCCATAACTGTCAAATATGCATAGAAAGAGCAGTGCTGAACCACAATGTATGTTAAAGATTTATTCTGCAAGTAGCATTTAATTTATGTTTCACAGATAGCAGCAGAGAGGTTAAACTTAATAGTGCAGCTTTTAGGTACTATAATTACCCATTAGGGCAGGAAGGGGCAACCCCAGACCTGGAGGACAGAGTTCAGCTCCATCTTAATTCAATCAAACCTGCCTGTAATTTTCAAGTAATGACTTGGTAAAAAATTTTGTTTTTAATTTTGGTTAGATTTTTTTTTTTTTCAAGTGCATTTGAATAGATATGGAGTTAAACTCTGCAGGACAGTGGCCATCCAAGAATGAAGTTGCCCAAGGTTAAGATTTGAAGAAACTACCCCAGTGACAACCTACTCTAGTCCTAAAGGTAAAGAAGACACTTCATCATTTAGCCACAACCTCCGTTTAGGTTAGCTTTTAGAGCTCATGAGTCATGTTGATATCCCTTGTATAGCACATAAACCATGCACAATGTTAAATTCAAACTAAGGCTGTAACCATACTTTCAGATTAGGTTTATGAATCTGCCATTAAAAACATATTGGTTGATAGCTAGTCTGAAGATATAAAACGTATCTAAACCACATACCCAGTAGCAGACTAGCTGTGAGCTGGTAGAACCCAGACACTGGAGCTGTGTACCGGCCACTGCTGGTGTTAAAGCCCTGTCCCCTCTGATGGAACTGCTCTGTGTTTGAGGGCTGTGGAAAACACAGAAATTGGATAATTAAATATGCCATTGCCAGTCTCTTCCATTGCCAACCCTTCCCCACTGCTTGCCAGTCTGTTTCACCATCAGCCAAAGCTAACATCACTGCTAAATCAATACATCTAGAAGTTAGTGCTACTTCAGAGAAATAAAAGCTTCTTTTATAGCTCACATTTACTTTCACAGCTCTGGGGCTGCTGAGTCATGGTTATTGAAATGAGTAAATTGTTTCTAGTTTGGAAAGGATTGTTTTCCACTTACAGTGTTGAAGGGTTGGAGCTCCAGCAGACTGCGACGGTGGACCAACAGGTTGTGGTGCAGTCGGCAATGGAAAGCTGTGGCCACACGAGGGGTTTGATCGCAGAGCAGGCAGTGAGTTCCTACCATCTCTGTGTGGAAAGGTAATTACAGGATTGTAATGTTGCTTTGTCAAATGCACAAAAGAACTAATTCCCTTCGTATTACATTATTCCAAAGGGTTTGGGACAAGGTGTAACCCAATAGACTAGGCACCTTCTTAGACCCAAAAACACTGAAATACAGCTAGTGGAAAATGTTTTGGATTGTATTTGACTGACACTTGGCTGCATATAAAGCCATTAAACAATCTCACAGTGAATAGAAGATGTAAATATTTGGAGTGGTTGAGTGTATGTATGAGCAGACAGAGTGGATGAAAGTGTGAGGCAATGAGAATGCTATATGAGCGTACGGCGCCACTGCACTTTTCTGTGTGAATAAGAGCCTTTATGTTTTATATTGCTGTCAGAACAGCCTGCAGCTCACAGTACCAGAGGACAAACAGACCTGTGTCTGCTTTCCTGGCAATACTCCAACACTCATTCCACACACAAACATGCACACACACAAAATCTGGAATCTGTGGAATTCTTTGGCCAGGCCAAGTCAAATCCACGTCCTGGAAAATTACACCTATTAAGAGATCAGCCCAGCCCACAATCAGACTAGCAGCCTCCCCAACAAATGAGCATGACAACACATATCCCAAACATCAAGCAATTCTTTAAGTGGCTTAGCCCAAACAAAAACAAAAAGCTGTTGGACCATAATAACTAACATATTCAAATGTGTTTAACAACATTTTTGAAAGGTGTTGATGTCAAAGCAGTTACTTTACTACAGTTTAACTGATTTGTGCACCTGCATCTGGTGTCTTTTTACATGTGGTGCGCATCCATCACTCTGACAAAACTATTGATTTAGCACAAGTGAACAGAATCAATAGATTATGCAAAATGTAGATCAACAGACCCACCTCTCAACACATTTCATATGTCTCTCTTATCTGACACATTCAGTCTAGCTCATGGAGCTTTCTCCTAAAAAGCTTTTATGAATCAAGTGTGTTAAATAAGAGAGACATACAAAATGTGTAGGGCAGTGGGTCCCCAGGACCAGGATTGATAACCTTTGATCAAATGGTATTTTAACAAGTTGCCAGATGGATGTATCATATGATTTCTTTTCTGTTTTCTGTCTGGCATGATGGGTAATGGTGTGTAAATGGGCTTATGTCCACAAATTCCAGTATACCTTTTAGTTTGACTTGGAAGTCCTGTATCAACTCTGCATGATGAGGCATTAGGGGGCCCAGAGGACCAGGAGGCCCCTGGGGACCAGGAGGGCCTGGTGGACCTGGAATGCCATGCTGGACATGTAGAAAGTTTCAAGTTACATTACATAATAAGAGAAATCCATTTGAAGAGGTGAAAGATTAGGCACTTTCTGACATAGGCCTCATTAGTTTTATCTGTGTGTGCTGTGCTAAATCTGTTTTCATACAGTTTTACTTTTTAGTACTTCTTTACTTCTTAAAGCTTTTGTTCAATATATTTATATGCACTTATTCTATGTATTGGTATTATTCATCTTTAGCATGGTGTGTAATGCCTATACATTGGATCAGAGATTACCTTGGAGGGTCTTTTATTTCCTTTTGGTTTCTTATTTCCACCCTTGTTGGAGTTGTCCCTAAAGACTATCCATGTCCTGTGGGGGCTCACGTTGGTTATGTCAGAAGATACAGTATCCTGTAAAAATTAAGCATTTCAGAGCGTCAACTATGTTAGCAAACTTTAACTACAGCAAATATATAAACTCTTCCTGTAGAGAGGAATCTTTTTTCACAGTGAGGTCACATTCTCTACAATGTTTATGAATGTCATTACCATATACTTTCCCTTCATGTCTAATGGTTGTCATACCCTAAAGTAAAACTCAGAGAATTGATTTACGAGATTTTATGGTGTCTTTGCGCGTGTGTACTGCCTTAAAGCCTTGACAGGTGAACAGCAGGTGTGTGAATCGGATTTGACTTACAGGGCTCTCAGTGCTGACTGTATTGTTTTCCTCTTGGAGCTCCAGACTCTCCTCACTCTCTTGTGTAGTGCAGGTAGACAGCAGTAAACTCAGCAGCAAGGCCAGTAGTGCCCCTCTTGCCCCATGCCTGAGCTTCATGCTGCAGTGTCGGTGCAGTGTAGGTGAACTTCTAACTCACTCAACTCCTTCTTAGCAGCTCAGTGCACAATTTCCATTCCAACACAGAGAGGTGACCAGAAGTCCTGTGGGTAACACGATGGAATCGTTCCTTAGTTCAGAAGGATATCCAAGAGTGGAGGTGAGAAATCAGAGTGCTGCTTCTTCAAAGCGTAAATACTCTTTGGGAAGAGTTCTCTAGATAATGGTGGCTCTTGATTTGGAAAAGATGATTTGGTCTGTGATCTACTAATGTTCTACTTTAATTCCCGGTGTGATTTCTGACATGGAGAAGAAATCTGTTCTTAGATCAGTTCATATTTTTGTGGACAGAGTGTTCAGAGTGCCATGAGAGTTGTGCGCAGGGCCTCACCATGCTTCTACCCATTCACAGTCAATCCGTCCCCTGTGACAGCCAAGATTCCCTATGCCTCCTGACTACAGTCTAAATACTCTAAGCTTGAGTTGTTCAGCCTATGTGTTACAATCACAATGTAGGTGTGTATTCCATAAATGAATGTGTATGTGTGTGTGCGCGCGTGTTTGTGAGTGTATTTGTTGATGGTTAGTGTCTGTTGCTCAGTTGCGGTGTGATTACCTGTGATAAACTCTGTGTGTGGTATACTCAGTCTCTTCTCTGTGGGTGGTATCTCCACGTCTTCTTTCTGTTTTTAATAATGTTTGATTGTCTTCTGGTCTCCTTGGTGCCTTTGCACAGTATATTTTCGGTAATTCCGTCAATGATGAATTTTTTTTTTGCCAGTTGAGGTCCTCTTTGCCAGACTCCAGTTTATTCCACATCTATGTCAGTGGCCACTCAGAAAGGATCACTCTGTTTTGAAGGGCTCCGTTTGGCGCTCCACTCTTTTTAGCTTCCTCTCAGACCAGACTCCTCCTCCTCTTCAAGTTTGTGCACTCCACCTGATATCTGTTGCTGAATCTTGATCTGTCACGTTGTCTCTCTTCAGCCTCCTTGTCAATTTATCTGACCATCTCTCCCTGTCTCTCTACTAGAGTCAGTTCCTGGGTCCCTTCTTTTGTTTGTCTTGTGTTTAGCTCATTCATCTGTCTCTGCCAGCACTTACGCTCTCTGTAAGCCTCAGCTGCAGGGTCCTAATGCCTCTTTTATGGGTTTGTACAGTGGTCTGCTTGTAATCAGAGATGCTCCTTCAAGATGAATAAAACTGGAAATCTAATAGATTTAAAATGTCAGAAACAGAAGGAGGGTAGTGTTCATTTAGACTCTATCCTAAATTTGCAAGCAGTGAGAGACATTTGGGTGGGGCAGAAATGTGCATTTCAGATATGCAGAAATGTACTGTTAAAAATTATGACAGTTAGGAGGAAGGTTGCACATTTTTATGTAGCAAACCACCACACCTCCCTCTTTATCAGTCTTCTGCTTTTGCTTTTTCCTGGCTGAGAGAACAGCATCTGTGTGGTCTTTAGACTAGACACTACTGTGCACAAAACTAATGAAGCTTTTAAAATGCTGGATTTTTTAAGCCTAATTAAGTGTAATTGTTTACAACATTCAAACAAGGGAACACTGGCACCATCTCTTGGCCAAATTCTTTCAAAAAGATCAGGACAATTAAAATGAGAAATGGTTGCCACACAAACTTCATATGCAATTGATAAAGGTAAACATTCAGAATTTTCTGCCTGGATCAATGTGTTTTGAATGAAGCCGAGCATAAGGGCAATTTTAAATGATTCTGTTAGAATCACTACTGCAAAACATTAAAACATACACTGAAAATTGATAAAACATACACTTATGAATACCAAAATGCATCAAACAATACAGACAACACTATGTAACTGATGCTGAAAATAGCAGTCTGTGGTTAGAGATAGGTGATTGGAAGCTGTCTGCTTAAGTCCTGGATAAGAGGATTTGAAGTCACCGTTCCTGCTCTGTAAAGACTTGCTCAGTATTGCTAAATCTCATCAGACAGTCCCAATATCCTGTACACAGACAGACGTCTCTAATAGTTACAGGCCCAGCAAAGATGTTTTGGAAAAGGTTTCATTTCCTTTTAATGAAGATGCTCTTTGACCTCATTTGAGAAATGGCACCACTTGAACTTGTACTGCTGAAATTCTGTTGTCTAAGTAGGTGAGTACCAAAGGCTACCTGTAGGTTAATAGATTGTTATGTCACTGTGTTTTTAGGCATCTGAACTGTGAATTATATCACTGTTCTTTCAGTATTTAAACATGGCGCAGGACAATGTCTCACCACTGCAGCACTTTGTGGTGGCAAAGAGGACAATCAGTGCTGTGTTTCACCAGCTGTTGGAGTTTGTTAGAGATTGTTCAGATTTTGTAGAAGGTAAGGACAAAGTTTTCTGCAGGATATTTATTAATAAATACAATGATGAACCATTACATTATGACCACCTATCTAATAACCTGTAGGATCCACAAAACAGCAGCCACACAGTGAGGTATTAATTCTCCTGGGGTATGTGGTACCATAATGTCAACAGCAGGTCCTTTAGTTCTCGTACATTGCACCATTGTGGTGGTGATGTAGCACGAATCCGCTTTTCCAAGTCGAACCACAAATGTTCAACTGGGTGATTTTAGAGACTAAGGCAATAACAGAAATTCACCATCATGTTCCTCGAACCACTCCTTGACAGATCTGGCAGTGTGGCATGGCGCAATATCCTGTTGGTAGCGAGGGAACACAGGGAACACAGTTGCCATGAATGGGTGCACTTGGTCAGCAATGATGTTCAGATACCAGACAGCTGTCAAGAATTGTGCTATTGAGATAATGGGGCCGAAAATGTCCCATGAAAACATCATCCACAGCATAACTGGCCTGTGTCTGCCCAGCAATGCATCCAGGTGCCATAGACTCTATTGGTAATCTGCGCTCGGCCGTCAACGTGACACACCAGGAATCTTGATTCGTCAGACCAGGCAACTTTCTAATCATCCACGGTCTAATCTCGATGATCTTGGGCCCATTTCATTCATTGTCGGCGATGGCATGCAGTTAGCATCGGGACCCAGCTGGATGGTCAGCTACGCAGGCCCATACGAAAAAGTCTGTGATGAAATATGTGCTGTGAAACATCGCCCTGGTCACCATTGTTGTAGCTGCTGGTAATTTGTCACACTGTGGCCTTCCGGTCGCTGTGAACAATGCGTGACAGTCTCCGCCTCCCTCTGGCATCAGTGTGTTGCGGACGACAGACGACTCGACTACGGATTCACACTTTTGATATGTACTCACTACACAGGCACGTGAGCAACCCACAAGGCACACCATTACCGAGATCGAAGTTCCGAGGTAGTATATACAGCTCTGTGAACTGCACCTGTGGCACCATTTGATTGCCAGGCGCACTCATTGCTCTAGGCTGGGGGTGGTCACTCAAAATGTAATGGCTCATCTGTGTATTTCTTCTTATTATTATTTCTTATAATTATTAACTTTACTGAACTCCATTAGATTCAATTTTAAATCCCAGAATTTCAATACAGACTATTGTATACTTTTGGACAATATCATGGTTTGTAGACACGGTAGTAACATGTAAATGTTATGGTGTATTACTATGGTAATCATTTAGTACTATTATTAGTACTATAATAAAGTGCCATTGTATTTCCATCTTATGGAAGCCTTCTTCTAAAATGCACTACATCACATTACATCACTCCACATGACATTACCATAAGCAAAGTCATAAATAACCCTTCAATATGACACTTGAAATTTAGCTCAGGAGCATCCCATCTAACTGGATCATATTTGAGTTGGTTCTACACTTTGTCTAGTCCACCTATGGCAAATTCAACTGCTGGTACTTGAGTTACTCTGTTTGAGATCCCAAAATCATGTGTGGTGATGGGTGAAACGTGCATAAGGATACCCATCACCGCAACACCCAAAAGCATCCCAACGGATGAAGCACGGTGGTGGTAAAATCATGTGTTTTCAACAGCAGTACTGAAGGACTGGTCAGGGTAGAAAGAAAAACTGATGCAGCACAGAATAGAGCTCTTGACAGTTCACCCAAAAATGAAAAATAAAATATTTTGAAGATTGTTGGTAATTGATTGTTGGTAAGTCCAGACTTGAACCCAATTGAAAATCTATGGAGAAACTCGAAAATGGCTCTCCACCAAGTCACCAACAGTCCCCAATTCAACCTGACGTGTTCATAAATTTGGAAAATCTGCAGAAAAAAATGGAAAAAAAAAAAAAAAAAAAAAATCCCAAATCCAGGTGTGCAAAGATATCAAAAATATCAAAGATATAAAAAATCATTTTTTGCTTTGTCATTATAGGGTGTAGATTGATGTTAAAAATGTTTAAAGCATTTCAGCATTAAAAAAAATCATATCAATCAGCTAAGGCTGGTCCTGCTCTTAGTCTTTACTGTATGATGGTATTTAACGTGTGGTACTCAGAGACGTGGAAGAGTGAGGATCTTGAGCATGTAGCAGAGGAAAAACAGTGTCTGCAGATCCAGGCCTGCTCCAGGAAACTAACCGCCATCAAAGATGTGTTAGCCCGCAGACATATGAAGGTGGCCTTCTTTGGCAGGTACAACTACAGTTATGACTAATCTAAGTTTACTGGTATCTAAACCAAATAGTAACAGGCTAGCAGAATGAAATGGATTAATTGTTTGCTTTAGTTCTTCAGCTGTTCAGCCAAGGTTTTTTATTATTTTATTTTTTTTGGTACACATAGTTACTTTATACAAATCCATAAGTGAGGCACCAAAAACATAAACTTAATCTCTGTTTTTTTCTCTCTTTCATCTCTAACTTGGTTTGAGATAATATTGAATCAGAGAAGCTAAATGGATAGTTTGTTACTGGGTGTTATATGTTGTTTTTCAGGACCAGTAATGGAAAGAGTACAGTAATTAATGCCATGCTAAGGGAACGGGTTCTGCCCAGCGGAATCGGCCACACCACTAACTGTTTCCTGAGTGTGGAGGGCACAGATGGGGAACATGCCTACCTTACCACTGAGGACTCTGAAGAGAGTAAAAGCATTGAAGTAAGTCACAAGTTTCCATAGCTTATTATGTTTGTAAGCTACAGTTGTGCTCACAATTATTCATACCTTTGGTAAATATGATCAAAGAAGGCTATGAAAATTAATCTGTATCATCGATCCTTTAGATATTTCATTTTAAAAATGTACTAAAATCTAACCTTTCATTGGAGAATAAGAATTTAAAATGGGAGAGAAATCTCATTATAAAAATAAATGTTATTCTCTAATACACATTGGTCACAATTAATCATACCCTTTTATCCAATACTTTTTGCAACCTCCTTTTGCCAAGACAACAGCTCTGAGTCTTCACCTATAATGCCTGAAGAGTTTAGAGAACATCTGACAGGAGATCAGAGACCATTCCTTCACACAGAATCTCTCCAGACCCTTCAGATTTCAAGCTGCATGTTGATGCTTCTCCTCTTCAGTTCACCACACTCATTTTCTATAGGGTTCAGCTCAGGGAACTGGGTTGGCCAGGGCAGAAGCTTGGTTTTGTTCTCAGTGACCCATTTTTGTTTTGATGTCTGTGTGTGGATCATTGTCCTTTTGGAAGATCCAACCATGGCCCATTATAAGATTTCTAGCATGGACAGACAGTTTTGTATTTTTTATCCATTGCTATTTTATAGAATCCATGTTTCATCTGACCATTGAACCCAGTCCCGTTTAAAGTTCCAGTCGTGTCTAGCAAATAAATATGCTGGAGTTTGTTTTTGGATGAGAGCATTTTCTTTTCTAGTTTTTTTCTTGAAACCTTCCCAAACAACATTTTTTTTTTTTTAGGCTTTCTGACCCCAAGAATCAACTATTTTCTGCAGTTCTCCAGCTGTGATCTTTGGAGTCTTTGGCCACTCAAACTCTCCTCCTCACCGTGCATTAGGACGATATCGACACACGTCCTCTTATAGAACCACCTTCTAAACCAAACTTAACCAAAAAGGAAAAGAGAAGAGAATTTAATTATCCTCATTCTGCTACCAGAAAAGGGTATTTTGTTGTTTTATCTTTCCCTCTCATCTTACCATTAACTTCCTTTTCCTTACAAAAAAGAAAAAAAACTTTTCTCTTACAGGAAAATTGGAAGCAGCCAATTACTATCCTGTCCGCTGCTCCGTTTTGTCGTTTTCTTTTTCTTTCATCCCTCTGTTCTCT